CTCATGTTTAAGATTGTAATAAGTAAGTTCGTTAAGTTCGACCTGACCTGATATTTATACCCTACACAACTATGTTGTCAGAGTATAATAGCTTTGTGCAACCCCAAGAGTTTGTAACGCCGCGAAATATTGGTCCTAGACCCAACTTTAAGTATACCGGTCGTCATATTTCGACTAGCTGAGTCAATCTAGACATGTGTGTCCGTCCTTCTGTCCATTATTATTTGTAAACACGATGCAGGCCACAGTTATGGACCAATCTCCACGAAATTTTTCATATAGGTTCGGGCCAAGGAAGGGCCCTATTGTTTTTGGTAATGATACGTTTTTTGTCTGTTTTTCTAGTCGCTCTAGAGGCCACAATAATGACCCGAACACCACGAAATTTTACACCAAGAAGTCAATCTGACATGACTGTTTTGATAAAGGTCAATATTTAGCGGTCAAATGGACCCTGAAATTAATATTCTGTGGCGTATACATTTTCTCCTGAAGGACATAGACCAAGATGAGTTGCAAACCTTTAAATTGATACCAATTATATTGTTGTATGTATTCGGATGTGGGAGTTATACGTATATATATTAAAAATGTCTATGTGTTATGATATTACTATTACCTCTCTAGATTGCGGAAATGCTGTGCTGATTACTTTGAAATTTTACTTGAAGTTCCGATTGCGATCAAGGACGATGCCTATAATTTTCGGTGATGTTGAGATAATAAATACGAGGTGCACTGAACCGAAAATTTTTTTCAGATTTTCTAGTCCCTCTGGAGGCTGTTATTATATGCAGAACATCACATGTTTTACACGGTGAAGGGTATCTGACCAAATACTTAGAGCGGCTGTTTAGATAATGATCGGTCAATATTCAGAGGTTAAAATCAACCAAAACCGAAAGTGACCAAATTTATTTATCTATTTGATGTTTTAAATATTCACCTAGCGAATTATTGCCCAGGCTCAGAATATAGAACCGAATTGACTGTAATAAGTATTACAGTATCTCTATAGGTTATTAGTGAAGGACCACTTTCATAAACTTTTTTAATTCTAACTCTTTGTTGGAAAATAATTGTGAGTGTGGTTTTTTTTTAGATTGTGAAACGATTATTATCAAAAATTTTAACACAGCCCAATCGCACCTACGGGGTTAATTATTAAGAACGTGTGTTCGAATTTACGCACATTATTTTCAAACTTAAAAAAAAAAACAAAAATAATATATCCCATTTATAAAAAAAAATTTAGGTTTTCATCTTCTCTATATATTTCGATATGTAAATTAGTTTTTCCTTATTTATTAAACGCCTGAAAGTATGCTACATTTTTACATGAATAGTGACAATAATTAGTACTTCTATTCTCTATCGATGTTGAAGGGCATTTTTAGGCTGGTGATATTTCAATGACACCTAACCGGTGGTTGCTTAAAGTTTTTTATACCCTTCACCACACTGTGGTACAGGTTACTATGTCTTTGTGCATATGTTTGTAACAGGCAAAAATAATCGAGATAGACCCATGGTTCCTTTTGTGAATACACATAGAATCACTTTCTAAGTCGATTTATGCATGTCCGTCCGTCCGTCTGTCTGTCCATGTTAAATTGTAAACAAAGTACAGGTCGCATTTATGATCCGAAATGGATGAAATTTGGCATAGGTCACTTATTCGGCCCAAGGACGAACCCTATTGAAATTGGGAAAAACGGTTCAGATTTAGATATAGCTCTAATATATATATTTAACCGATTTAATGTAAACGGTCCCTATATATCTTTCGATTTGCATGAAATTTGGTACAGCCTAATCCTTTAGGTCTAGAATGGTGTCTGCCAAGTTTCGTAAAAATCGGTCAAGATTTAGATATAGCTCCAATATATAGTTTCGTCCGATTTCATGTAAATGGTGCCCCAAAGTCCATATATATCCTTTGATTTGCACTAAATTTGGCATAACGTACTGAATTAAGTCTAGAGTGATGTCTGCCAAGTTTCGAGAAAATTGGTTCAGATTTAGATATAGCTCCCATGTATAGTTTCGCCAGATTTCATGTAAATGGTGCCCCAAAGTCCCTATATATCTTTCGATGTGCACGAAATTTGGCATAACGTGCTTAATTGTGCCTAGAATGATGTCTGCCAACTTTCGAGAAAATCGGTCCAGATTTAGATATAGCTCCCATATATAGTTTCGTCCGATTTCATGTAAATGGTGCCCCAAAGTCCCTATATATCCTTCGATTCGCACGAAATTTGGTACAGCCTAATCATTTGAGTCTAGAATGATGTCTGTCAAGTTTCGTGAAAATCGGTCCAGATTTAGATAGACGCACCATATATATTTTCGCCCGATTTCAAACTCCTCATGTTAGTTTAAGTTTGCACATCGTACAAAATTGAGCATAAAATTATATAGTTGCGTTTTCTAGAAGTACAGACATAGCCCAACGGATGACCCATTTATATTTGCTTGAAGTCGATTTACATACTTTATGGATAGATCTAGGTAGATTCACATTTAGATAAATATCACATATTTTATTTCATCCAATTTCATGCTAATAGTCCTGTTTAATATACCCATAGTGATGAAGGATATCATATAGTCGGCCCCGTCCGACTTTACTACTTTCCTTACTGGTTTTATATATTTTTTAATATTTAATTTTTAGCATCGAAAATTTATTTTCTCACAACACTTTTCTATGCAAAACAATGTTTTATGGTATTCGTAAATTTATTGTAGTACCAATACCAATTTTTTTAGAACATACCCAACACAGCTTTGTTATGAACTTTGCGTAATGAAAGATGGAAGTTTCCAAAACACTTAATTTTGTTTCGATTTATACCGTGCTTTTTGTGCCAGGCTAAGAACTTTTCGAACTGTCCTCGTACATTCACAATAGGAATCTTCTTCCACTCCCAACCCTGACCTGGATTTTGTCTTCTCGTGTTAGCCAAAAATTGTATTTGAAACACTTCCTGCCGTCTTTTTCCAAATATTTAGATAATAATTCGACTTATATTATATTCAATAGCCTATTGCATACCTTTCGCTACAAACACAGCAATATTTTAATATTTTAAAAACTGTCCTAATTCTAATATTTAGAAATGTAGATCAAAATTTGTCAATTTTGAATATTTGTGGTACAACACAATGACGCACGTGATATAGTTTTGAAACAATTCATTTCATTATACTTCATATTATGTGACTTTTTGCGATTTTGTAATATTTCTCTAAAAAAGACAAATTCCAATTGCGTGCCTGTCAATTAGAAATTCTACATAACTACACGATTTGTAAAAAAGCAAAAAAATTATATAAAACTTTCCATTCAGATTTTCTATAATTAAAAAAATTGTAACAATAATGAAAGTAATTATTACAGGCCAGAGCACCACCACTTCTAATATTGTGAATTGAATAGATGAAAAGGAGGGCGGAGGAAAGCGAGTCTAAAGGGCCTGTTAACTACCGCAAATGAAACCGTGCAAAATAGAACCCCTATCACAGACATAGTTGATCAATCAATCTCCAACAATTCACAACAATAAGAACGAGGCTTTGCACGCCTTTCTTCGTGATATTTGTTTTATTTTTTTTTCTCCCATCGAGAACAGTTGTGAAATTAAATTAATTGTTGCACTACTTAGTGGAAATGGAACAACAACAACAAATACAGAATACAAACAGATAAAAAAATTTTCTAATAAAGATCAATAAGTGATTTTTGGTTTGATAGCCGGACGATCAGAGATAGGTTAGAAAGTTTCTTATCAGCGATCGTGCTGAACGGACGTGAATATTGGGAAAGAAAGAAAAAAAATAATAATTAAAAAAAGAAATTATGGCTCGTCGGAGTGACATTAAAGATCCTATGGAAGGACATTCGCTATTGGTGCAGTGGAAAAATACCAGACACAATTCGTTTTGCATAGAGGACGAGGAAGATGAAGCCACTGCGTTTAATAGCAAATCGGGTTTAATTGAACAATTAAATGTAAGATTGTGCAAGGATATATCCTTGAAGGATATATACTTGAGAGAAAAAGTTTGAAACTAAAGATGTGCCGCAAACAAAATATAAATATTTTTATTATAACAATTCGATTAATAAATCGGGTCTATAATCGGTTTTTATTTGCAATTATTGATTTTGTTGTGGTGATAAATAAAGCCTTGAAAAAAATATTCTTTTAAAAATCCAGGCCTCTGAATGTCCCCACAAAAATTTTCTTTTTAAAATCCGCGCCTTGTCTAGTCCTTGAAAAAATATTCTTTTAAAAATCCAGGCCTCTGAATGTCCCCACAAAAATTTTCTTTTAAAAATCCAGGCCTCTGAATGTCCCCACAAAAATTTTCTTTTTAAAATCCACGCCTTGTCTAGTCCTTGAAAAAATATTCTTTTAAAAATCCACACCTTGTCTAGTCCTTGAAAAAATATTCTTTTAAAAATCCACGCCTTGTCTAGTCCTTGATAAAAATTCTTTTAAAAATCCACGCCTTGTCTAGTCCTTGAGAAAAAATCGTTTAAAAATCCACGCCTTGTCTAGTCCTTGAAAAAATATTCTTTTAAAAATCCACGCCTTGTCTAGTCCTTGAAAAAATATTCTTTTAAAAATCCACGCCTTGTCTAGTCCTTGAAAAAATATTCTTTTAAAAATCCACGCCTTGTCTAGTCCTTGAAAAAATATTCTTTTAAAAATCCACGCCTTGTCTAGTCCTTGAAAAAATATTCTTTTAAAAATCCACGCCTTTGAAGGTCCTGGAAAAATATTATTTTATAAATCCACGCCTTTGAAGGTCCTGGAAAAATATTTTTTAAAAAAATCCTCGCCTCTAATGGTCATTGAAAAATATTTTTTATAAGAAATTTACAAATTTTCCCTTTCTATTAAACCTCCCTCGTAATCATAGAAACATCGAATTTGACAACTGATTTGTTTATTTACAAAATTCCCAAACCCAAAATTAATTTTTAAATGTTTTCTTGTTTACAGAAGAAGAAACCTCCGGCACCCATTACGCATTTAACTGAGGCTCCCAATGTCGACGATCACATCAAAAAGGAAATACCCACCAGGTGAGTTGAAGAAAACCTTCGTGATTTTCAATATAAAACCCAATTAATTTCTAAAATTCTATTCACAGCTATTTCCAGTCCATTATCCATCTGTTCAAGGGTAATATTGGTCCTGGCCTCTTTGCCATGGGTTTTGCCTTTATGCATGGTGGATTGGTATTGGCCCCCATATTGACCATTCTCATTGCCCTGATTTCCATACATTGTCAGCATATGCTGATCAACTCCTCGGTGAAAATGAAGGAGTTGAAGAACACAGAAAAATATCCCGATTTTGCTGAGACCATCGAACAGTGTTTTGAGACCGGACCAAGGGCAACACAAAAATTAGCTAAGACCATGAAGACGTTGGTGAATCTGTTCATTTGTATTACACAGCTGGGGTTCTGCTGCATATATTTTGTATTTATCGGAACAAATATTAAGCAGGTAAGTGATCGGAAGACGGATTCGCAATTTCAGAATTAAATAAAAATTTTTTTTTGCAATTTCAGATACTATTGGCCTATGACATCGATCTGGATGTCCACTATGTCATGCTGATCACGTTCATTCCGATTTGGTTAAGTTCCATGATCACAAATTTAAAGTACCTGACACCGGTGTCATTCATTGCGAATATTTGCATGATCTGCGGCCTTTCGATAACCATGTATTACGGCCTGAAGGATGGCCTGCCAGATGTGGCGGAACGTAAACTTTTCACCAGTCCCATGGAATTGGCTTTGTATTTTGGCACCGCCATCTTTGCCTTCGAGGGTATTGCCTTGGTGCTGCCACTGAAAAATGCCATGGCCAATCCAAATAATTTTGATCGTCCCATGGGGGTACTGAATGTGGGCATGTTCTTTGTAAGTATTTTTAAAATTATACTTTAAAAATATATTATTTACAAAATCCGCACTTTTTCTAGACCTTTAAAAATCCTTGATAGAAGACTTGAAAAAATATTCTTTAAAAAATCCACGCCTTGATAGAAGACTTGAAAAAATATTCTTTAAAAAATCCACGCCTTGATAGAAGACTTGAAAAAATATTCTTTAAAAAATCCACGCCTTGATAGAAGACTTGAAAAAATATTCTTTAAAAAATCCACGACTTGATAGAAGACTTCTTTAAAAAATCCACGCCTTGATAGAAGACTTGAAAAAATATTCTTTAAAAAATCCACGACTTGATAGAAGACTTCTTTAAAAAATCCACGCCTTGATAGAAGACTTGAAAAAATATTCTTTAAAAAATCCTCGACTTGATAGAAGACTTCTTTAAAAAATCCACGACTTGATAGAAGACTTCTTTAAAAAATCCAGGCCTTGATAGAAGACTTCTTTAAAAAATCCACGCCTTGATAGAAGACTTCTTTAAAAAATCCACGACTTGATAGAAGACTTCTTTAAAAAATCCAGGCCTTGATAGAAGACTTCTTTTAAAAATCCAGGCCTTGATAGAAGACTTCTTTTAAAAATCCACGCCTTGATAGAAGACTTCTTTAAAAAATCCAGGCCTTGATAGAAGACTTCTTTAAAAAATCAACGCCTTGATAGAAGACTTCTTTAAAAAATCCACGCCTTGATAGAAGACTTCTTTAAAAAATCCACGCCTTGATAGAAGACTTCTTTAAAAAATCCACGCCTTGATAGAAGACATCTTTAAAAAATCCACGCCTTGATAGAAGACATCTTTAAAAAATCCACGCCTTGATAGAAGACTTCTTTAAAAAATCCACGCCTTGATAGAAGACTTCTTTAAAAAATCCACGCCTATTCTAGTCCCTGAAAAAATATTCTTTAAAAAATCCACGCCTATTCTAGTCCCTGAAAAAATATTCTTTAAAAAATCCACGCCTATTCTAGTCCCTGAAAAAATATTCTTTAAAAAATCCACGCCTATTCTAGTCCCTGAAAAAATATTCTTTAAAAAATCCACGCCTATTCTAGTCCCTGAAAAAATATTCTTTAAAAAATCCACGCCTATTCTAGTCCCTGAAAAAATATTCTTTAAAAAATCCACGCCTATTCTAGTCCCTGAAAAAATATTCTTTAAAAAATCCACGCCTATTCTAGTCCCTGAAAAAATATTATTTAAAAAATCCACGCCTATTCTAGTCCCTGAAAAAATATTCTTTAAAAAATCCACGCCTATTCTAGTCCCTGAAAAAATATTATTTAAAAAATCCACGCCTATTCTAGTCCCTGAAAAAATATTCTTTAAAAAATCCACGCCTATTCTAGTCCCTGAAAAAATATTCTTTAAAAAATCCACGCCTATTCTAGTCCCTGAAAAAATATTCTTTAAAAAATCCACGCCTATTCTAGTCCCTGAAAAAATATTCTTTAAAAAATCCACGCCTATTCTAGTCCCTGAAAAAATATTCTTTAAAAAATCCACGCCTATTCTAGTCCCTGAAAAAATATTCTTTAAAAAATCCACGCCTATTCTAGTCCCTGAAAAAATATTCTTTAAAAAATCCACGCCTATTCTAGTCCCTGAAAAAATATTCTTTAAAAAATCCACGCCTATTCTAGTACCTGAAAAAATATTCTGTGAAAAATCCACGCCTATTCTAGTCCCTGAAAAAATATTCTTTAAAAAATCCACGCCTATTCTAGTCCCTAAAAAAATATTCTTTAAAAAATCCACGCCTATTCTAGTCCCTGAAAAAATATTCTTTAAAAAATCCACGCCTATTCTAGTCCCTGAAAAAATATTCTTTAAAAAATCCACGCCTATTCTAGTCCCTGAAAAAATATTCTTTAAAAAATCCACGCCTATTCTAGTCCTTGAAAAAATATTCTTTAAAAAATCCACGCCTATTCTAGTCCCTGAAAAAATATTTTTTAAAAAATCCACGCCTATTCTAGTCCCTGAAAAAATATTTTTTAAAAAATCCACGCCTATTCTAGTCCCTGAAAAAATATTCTTTAAAATATCCACGCCTATTCTAGTCCCTGAAAAAATATTCTTTAAAAAATCCACGCCTATTCTAGTCCCTGAAAAAATATTCTTTAAAAAATCCACGCCTATTCTAATCCCTGAAAAAAAATTCTTTAAAAAATCCAGGCCTTGATAGACCCGTTGAAAAAATATTCTTTAAAAAATCCAGGCCTTGAAAAAATATTCTTTAAAAAATCCCCGCCTTTAGCTGTGATAGTCCCTGAAAAATATTCTTTAAAAAATCCAGGCCTTGATAGACCCGTTGAAAAAATATTCTTTAAAAAATCCAAGCCTATTCTAGTCCCTGAAAAAATATTCTTTAAAAAATCCACGCCTATTCTAGTCCCTGAAAAAATATTCTTTAAAAAATCCACGCCTATTCTAGTCCCTGAAAAAATATTCTTTAAAAAATCCACGCCTATTATAGTCCCTGAAAAAATATTCTTTAAAAAATCCACGCCTATTCTAGTCCCTGAAAAAATATTCTTTATAAAATCCACGCCTATTCTAGTCCCTGAAAAAATATTCTTTAAAAAATCCACGCCTATTCTAGTCCCTGAAAAAATATTCTTTATAAAATCCACGCCTATTCTAGTCCCTGAAAAAATATTCTTTAAAAAATCCACGCCTATTCTAGTCCCTGAAAAAATATTCTTTTAAAAATCCACGCCTGTTGTAGTCCCTGAAAAAATATTCTTTAAAAAATCCACGCCTGTTGTAGTCCCTGAAAAAATATTCTTTAAAAAATCCACGCCTATTCTAGTCCCTCAAAAAATATTCTTTAAAAAATCCACGCCTATTCTAGTCCCTCAAAAAATATTCTTTAAAAAATCCACGCCTATTCTAGTCCCTGAAAAAATATTCTTTTAAAAATCCACGCCTGTTGTAGTCCCTGAAAAAATATTCTTTAAAAAATCCACGCCTATTCTAGTCCCTGAAAAAATATTCTTTAAAAAATCCACGCATGTTGTAGTCCCTGAAAAAATATTCTTTAAAAAATCCACGCCTATTCTAGTCCCTGAAAAAATATTCTTTAAAAAATCCACGCCTGTTGTAGTCCCTGAAAAAATATTCTTTAAAAAATCCACGCCTGTTGTAGTCCCTGAAAAAATATTCTTTAAAAAATCCACGTCTGTTGTAGTCCCTGAAAAAATATTCTTTAAAAAATCCACGCCTATTCTAGTCCCTGAAAAAATATTCTTTAAAAAATCCACGCCTGTTGTAGTCCCTGAAAAAATATTCTTTAATAAATCCACGCCTGTTGTAGTCCCTGAAAAAATATTCTTTAAAAAATCCACGCCTGTTGTAGTCCCTGAAAAAATATTCTTTAAAAAATCCACGCCTGTTGTAGTCCCTGAAAAAATATTCTTTAAAAAATCCACGGCTATTGTAACCCTTGAAATATAATTTATCTTTAATTTTTGTATTAATTTATTTCCAGGTCACCCTAATGTTCATGGCAGCCGGTATGGTTGGTTACATCAAATGGGGTGATGATGTGGCCGGCAGTTTAACTCTCAATCTTGGAGACACCATGTAAGATTTTTATTTTGAAATTCAATATTTTATGTATCCCACTTAACTCTTTCTCTTTTTTCTTCCTCTCTATTCAGTGGTGCACAAATTGTGAAAGCCATGGTCTCAATGGGTGTCCTATTCGGATATCCTCTACAATTCCACATAGCCATACAAATTATGTTACCATCTGTGATAGAAACATTCAAATGTTACAATCATACCTTGGCGGCAAATTTATCCTTTAGAACTGTAATGGTAGTGGTGACATGTAAGTATCATATACACACACAAATATCAAGATTCAAAAAATTCAGAATAATAAAAAATCCTTTTTTCTTCCAGTGGGCATTGCTGAATTGGTACCCAATTTGGGTCTCTTCATTTCCCTCATCGGTTCCCTTTGCTCCACCGCCTTGGCTTTGGTCTTCCCTCCGATTATAGAAATAATTGTCAAGCGGGACATTGTGAACTGCTGTTCCCGCTATTGGATGTATTTGAAAAATACCATCATTTTGATATTGGCCATGGCCGGTTTTCTGGCCGGAACCTATGAAAGTTTATCGGAAATCATTAAAGAATTTAGCCATAAAGAAATTGAAATGCCCACCACACCAGCTGAGTGGACATAAGCAGAGAGGGAACTTCGGAGGCGGAGGCATCCACCATCCATGCCATATAGAGCGCAAAACGTGATTTAAAACAACAAAAAACAATAACACTTAAATAATTTATGTATATTATTTTATTTTTTTTTTTCATTATTAGTGCCTAAGCTTAAACAAATTAGATGTTAATTGTAATTTTAATTAAAAAAATTACCTCAAATACTTAGTTATAGAATTTAAAAATAAAACAAAAAAATAGTATATATAAAAATATAATGCATATATTTTATATGTATTTCGATATTTTTATTTACAAAAATAATAAAAATAAAAATATATAAAACAACAAATTTATTTGTTTTTTCATTTTTAGAAGAACATTTTTAAATAATTTTTTCAGGCTTACAAGAGGCGTGGATTTTTTAAAGAATATTTTTTCAAGGCCAATACAAGATGCGTGGATTTTTTAAAGAATATTTTTTCAAGGCCAATACAAGAGGCGTGGATTTTTTAAAGAATATTTTTTCAAGGCCAATACAAGAGGCGTGGATTTTTTAAAGAATATTTTTTTTTTCGTTGGTAACGATATGCTTGGGTTTTTCATCTTGAGGGTCTAAGAGAGGTATTAGACCTTTTTCTATCTTTCAAGACTATTATAAGAAAAGATCTCCCATGTGGGCCTTTGTTCGTAAAATATAACTTTTGATTGTTTCTGTTTCTGTTTTGTTTTTTTTTTTTTTTTTTTTTTTTGGCAATTGACGTCCATCGGAATTAGTCCTCTGCATTTTTGTTATCAATTGTTTTATTTTCTCTTCAAAACTTCAAGCAGCGGAAACTTATTAATGGAAAAAAATTCTTCACAATCAAAAACATTGTTCGGCGGGCATTTCAAAATAATCAAATTAATTTTTGAAAACTCCACCGATTTGAAAAAGTTAATAAATAACGAAAACATTTTAGTTTGTTACTGACATACGTCATGACTTAGCGGATCCATAACCCAATCGGGTGGGATTTGCAAAGCCACTCCAAATGTTTATACCCTACACAAATATGTTGCCAGGGTATTATAGCTTTGTGCAGCCCCAAGAGTTTGTAACGCCGCTAAATATTGGTCCTAGACCCACCTTTAAGTATACCGATCGTCATATCTCGACTAGCTGATTCAATCTAGACATGTGTGTCGGTCCGTCTGTCCATTATAATTTGTAAACACGATAGAGGCCACAGTTAAGGACCATTCTTCACGAAATTTTGCATGTATGATGGGTTCTGGGCAATGAAGACCCCTATTGTTTTTGGTAAAGATCGGTTAATATTAAGGGGATGAAATGGACCAAAAACTTTATTTTTGTCTGATTTTCTGGTCGCCCCAGAGGTCACAATTATGGCCCAAATATGGCGAATTTTTACATGGAGAGGGGATTGGGCCAAAGAATAAGCATACCTGTTTTGATAACGATCGATCAATATTTAGCGGGTCGTTTTTAAATGTTCCATGAGGTTCCAGTTATGGTCAAGGACAACGCCTATAATTTTCGGTGATCAGATCAGATAATAATAATTTTGGGATGAAGTGGACCGAAATCTTATTTTTTTGATTCGGTCTATAGGCTACAATTATAAGGCGAACATCACCAGTAATTAGAAGGGCTGTACTAAATATTTGTAATATTCGGAAAATATGTCAGTTTAAGGCAAGAGGTGCAACTATCGCGAAATATTGCCCAGGCTCGCAATAAAAATCCGCAGAAAGATGAATACTGTAGTAGTTGTGTAGGGTATCGTATGGTCGGCCCCGTCCGACTATACTGCTCTGCTCAAAGGTTTTTGTTCTATTTGGACAAATTAACTTGCAGTCATATTATCGCATAAATATTGACATGTCCGAATACGGCCTGACAACATTTCACATCCGAATAGAAGTTCTTCGAGTACTTAGCATGATCTATGTAGACACAAACAATTACGTCGATAATTATTAAAAATACACATTTTAAATATTATTTACAAGTAAACAAAAATCCGTTTATAGTCCAAATATTAAAAAGCCTACCCATGTAAATGTGATGATTCATAAGAACATATCACTAAAACACCTATAGAGAGGGTCTATCCGGTCTACAGAAGATTATGTGAAGGTATTTTTTTAGCATTTGATGTCACTATCTGCAATTGCATTTCGCCCACGTTCATTAAAAATAATCCACTGCATTTTTGCGTTATCAACATGCATGCTTACCTCTTCAAAACTTCAACCTCAACAAGTACTGTTATAACTCCCAACGATTCGATGGGTAAATAATATACCAAAAACATTTCAATTTCACACTGACAGACGTCTTGGCTTAAGAGTCTCTATCTACCACCCAATCATGTGGGATTTGCAACGCCACTTCAAATGTTTTTTTTTTGTCTTTGGACAAATACACCTGCAGGCGTATTATCACCTAATTATTGGCATGTGCGAATGCGTCAATACTTAACGCATCGAGTAATTTTGTTGACAGTTATTAAAAATATATTCTTTAAAAAATCCACGCCTTGTTTAGGTTCTTGAAACAATTATTCTTTAAAAAATCCACGCCTTGTTTAGGTTCTTGAAACAATTATTCTTTAAAAAATCCACGCCTTGTTTAGGTTCTTGAAACAATTATTCTTTAAAAAATCCACGCCTTGTTTAGGTTCTTGAAAAAATTTTCATTAAAAAATCCACGCCTTGTTTAGATCCTTGAAAAAATATTCTTTAAAAAATCAACGCCTTGTTTAGATCCTTGAAAAAATATTCTTTAAAAAATCCACGCCTTGTTTAGATCCTTGAAAAAATATTCTTTAAAAAATCCACGCCTTGTTTAGATCCTTGAAAAAGAAATTCTTTAAAAAATCCACGCCTTGTTTAGGTCCTTGAAAAAAATTCTTTAAAAAATCCACGCCTTGTTTAGGTCCTTGAAAAAAAATTCATAAAAAAATCCACGCCTTGTTTAGGTCCTTGAAAAAAATATTCTTTAAAAAATCAACGCCTTGTTTATTCTTTAAAAAATCAACGCTGACATGTGGTCCAAACAAATCTCAGTCAATTTAAAATACATTTCCTCTTAATTAAAATAAATAGCCATTTCAGGGCTACATTTCTCGACAATTAATAAATTAATCTCAATCGTAAGGGCTGGATGGCAAAAAACAGGAAATAATTCCAACCATTTGTAATATTTTGAATATTCAACTCTCCATCCCGTAGGTGGCCTTTCTTTGTGAGATATTAGAACATCAGATTCAGATTTCAATATCTGGATGAAAGAGGTTTTTTTTCTAGTTACCATACCAGTTTTTTCAAAATCGAATAAAATATTATCTCAATATGCAAATGCGAATAAATAAAAAACCCCATTTAAACCAAATTAATCTGGCACATTAAAACAAATTGGTGTATTTTTTCATTTAACAAATACGCAAAAAATTCAAGACTTACTGGCGCCAAACAACTGGGAATTGTTGTTGTTTTTTTTTTATTTGACTATAAAAAGTCGTTGTACCCACTTAGGATTGGCAATTAATCATTGAACCCCCAACAAGCGAACGATCGAACGAATCAGGAACTACACATCTCTGTTCACTTAAGGTAGTTGACGGTTTCATTCATTATTTCCGGTTTATTAACTGATTGACTGACTGAGAATCAAAATCGAACAGTCCAACGATCGATCGTTCGAGTGACTGACTGACCAATAGACCGACCCACCAAGCTTGTTACTTTTTTGTCACATAACAAATTGTTTTGTTTTTAGTTTTTTATTCACCGGCTGCCATATTTAGATTGGCGTACTTTTTGTAAACCACAACAATTCAATAAAAATCGAAAAACCAAACATGAATGGAAAACACCACAACGTGATGAACATTTGTTTCCCTCAACATAAGTGGACTACCGCGCAGGGCAGTAGTGGTCAAGATCAATGTCTGTGTTGCGACGATGTTCACTTGTAAACGTGAACTACATATTTATTGCATATTTTTTTGTTCTAATTTGAGATTTACGATTTTGAGATTTTTTTTTCTGGAAAATTTCGGATTTGAAATAGGAAGTAGATTTGATATTTTAATTGAAATTTTATGGCTTCAATTAGGAAAATTTAATCAAATCTGACCATGGTATTTTTAATAATATTTTTTAAGGACCTAAACAAGGCGTGGATTTTTTAAAGAATATTTTTTCAAGGATCTAAACAAGGCGTGGATTTTTTAAAGAATATTTTTTCAAGGATCTAAACAAGGCGTGGATTTTTTAAAGAATATTTTTTCAAGGATCTAAACAAGGCGTGGATTTTTTAAAGAATATTTTTTCAAGGATCTAAACAAGGCGTGGATTTTCTAAAGAATATTTTTTCAAGGATCTAAACAAGGCGTGGATTTTTTAAAGAATATTTTTTCAAGGATCTAAACAAGGCGTGGATTTTTTAAAGAATATTTTTTCAAGGATCTAAACAAGGCGTGGATTTTTTAAAGAATATTTTTTCAAGGATTGTGGATTTAAGGGATTTTTAAGGATATTTTTTCAAGGATCTAAACAAGGCGTGGATTTTCTAAAGAATATTTTTTCAAGGATCTGAACAAGGCGTGGATTTTTTAAAGAATATTTTTTCAAGGATCTAAACAAGGCGTGGATTTTTTAAAGAATATTTTTTCAAGGATTGTGGATTTAAGGGATTTTTAAGGATATTTTTTCAAGGATCTAAACAAGGCGTGAATTTTTTAAGGATATTTTTTCAAGGATCTAAACAAGGCGTGGATTTTTTAAGGATATTTTTTCAAGGATCTAAACAAGGCGTGAATTTTTTAAGGATATTTTTTCAAGGATCTAAACAAGGCGTGGATTTTTTAAGGATATTTTTTCAAGAATCTAAACAAGGCGTGTATGTACTTTTAATAACTATCAACAAAATTACTTGATGCATTAAGTATTGACGCATTCGCACATGTCAATATTTAGGTGATAATATGCCTGCAAGTGTATTTGTCCAAACACAAAATA